CAGGGTTTGCCCCTGATTAATCAACCACCTTTCTGATCCATGAGGTTTTAACAAATCCAATAGAATTCTATTAAGATCTAATTGACGTAAGCCATATCCAAATTTTTATGGTTCAGAGTTGCATATTTATTAAGGGGTGGTCGAGAAACTCGCCAGAAGGTACCCCCCTACCTACCTGGTGGGGGGGGGGTGATTAATCCGATGTTGCCATTAATTGTAAAAATATTAACACATTTTTATATTCAATTTTTATCATATTGAATTATACCACGGTAAAATGTTAACTTTACTAACCCGCGAAAAAAAAACATGTTTCTTTTTGGCAAGTAGTATCTAAGATTCGCCAAGGAATCTGGGATTTTTTTTTCGTGACCTCACGTCGTGACCGAACCCTGGAGTCATGGTTAGGATTCTGGAAAACATCCCAAAATAGCCTTCAATATCAGGTGTGTGAAATATGATATTTTAATATATTTTACCCAGATAGAATGACTATAGTTAATGTCATCCCTGGATTAATAGACCCCAAACGGCTGTTTAATTGGGGGTACCATTTAAGTATAAGATTATCTCTGTTTGGGGCGTACCACCCGAATTAATCATATTCCCATATATTCCCTATGGATCCAGCCGTACCTTAGGAAGTACGACTGGGGTATGATGACTCGGGGGTTCGCCGTACCTTCTCAGACAGTGTTTGGATCCATACAAGGTGGTCCCGCCGCAGTTATGTGAACGTTTGTTTATAACCATAGTAAGTATGTCAATACATCTACCATAAACATCCATAAACCATAGTGACATTGGAATTATTTGTACCAAACTGAACGTGATGAATCGCTCAGTGGGGCACCACCTTGTAGGGATTTTTTGCACCATCTGCCAGGCCAAGCCGTGCCTTCAGGCTATGCAAGATGGCCGGGCAGCCCCAGGATTGGGTGTGGATGCCCTTGTGCCCCCTTGGGGCCCTTGGGGCTTGGAAAGATGGTGAACATATGGTGAAAACGTGGTGAAAACATGTTGAAAAATGCTGGAAATGGTGCAAGACATGCTGAAAAAAGGTCATGAACATGGTACAATGGTATATAGAAACTGGACATACCCATACATACCCGATAAATGGTGAATTTATGTAAATTTACTACATTTTAATGGGATCGACTACTGGATGGAATGGGGGATATTCTATTTATAGGCAAGCACAAATGGTTCGTAAGTTATGCACCTGTTCAGTGTTGATAATGCTTATGTCAATCATGTTGTATGTCATAATCAAAAACCGGGGTCTTGGATACTGTGCAAGCTGATGCTTAAAATACATCAGGAACAAAAATTATATGCCGGTGGCGATAATCAAAGAAAGTGTTCGAGTAAAGACTAAATAATAAATTGAGATTACCCTCTGGTAAACTAACAGTTTGCTATTGAAAATGGCCATAGAAATAGTGGATTTACCCATTGAAAATGCTGATTTTCCATAGTTTTTTGTTAACGTTTACCAGAGGGTAGATGGCATTGTTCATGCTCTTTGAGATGAGTCAGATGCGATAAGTCCATACGGAAAAAAAAAACCGTGGGTTTTTCAAGTCCTTTTTTGGCTCCAAATTTGCGAATCAATCCAGTTCATCAATATGTAAAATAGGGTTCCTGCATATTGATGCATGTCAAACATGGTCAAACCTCTATTTAACATTATTTCACCATGTTTTTCCATGTGTTTCCCTTAAACTCAACCCATTGAAGTAACCATGATATCCCCACCTGTGCGCCGGGCATGAGGTGGACAACGGGAATGGCCCGAGACCATGGTGGGGGCGCTATAGTTTGAAGATGTGAAAAAATCGGAAGGGGGGTGTCGAAAACCAACCAAAAGATGGAGATATTGCGGTATATATATTATATAAAATTATATACGTATAATATATAACTAATATAATATATATATGTGTGTGTGTGTGATTATATATTATTCATATATATTATATACAACACACACACATATATATATAACTCAAATAATATATGAATATAACACATATATATATAACTCTAATAATATATGAATATAACACACATATATATAACTCAAATAATATGTATATAACACATATATATATATAACATATATATATATATAAAACTCATATATACATACACCCTCTTATCATTTAACATTTCTATGGAGGAAAAAAACAATTTTAAAATTCGGTGTGTTTCATCATGTCTATCACCAACTGGGCCATGATTTCCATCGCAAACATGATGACACACTCTATGGGATCCGCTGGGTACACTGTGTTAATCCCTGCATAGAAAAAGGACCAATTCTGTCCGTTGTGTGGAGGGTTTCAGGGGTGAAAAGTTTGTCTTGTGGAAATTCCGATTGGCCACTGGTTTGATGTTTGATGAACATTCCAATTGGCATCCATAAAGACTGGCTATACAAGAATTTAGCCCCTGGACCACTTCCGCTGGACCGCTTCAGCATCCGCATCGCAGATCATTCTGTGCGACCTGCCAAAGTCGCATGAGAATGCCGTTAGCTGGGCCGGCACTGCCCAGCATGTCGTGTGGTTGGAAACTGATGGAAACAACACGGGAAATGCCCCGAGACTAGCCACGCAACTTTCTCTGTGATGGAAAAATCTTGTGTAGCAACTGGACGTAGTGACCGCCTCTGAAAGTTATTTTGGAATATGCTGGAATGATATAAACTGGCCCAAACAGGCGTTTTTTTTGTCCATATCATTGGTCCCTCTGGTGGAGTCTGAGCCTTGGCATCTCGGACGAACTTTTGAGTCATTCGTATCTGTACCTGAAGATAGGGGCTGTTGCGGTAAGATTTCTGGCCATTTGAAAATAGAACATATTATGAAAATCATGGAATTTGTAGCACAAAGTAGCCGAGAAATCTCCTAGAAACACCATGGTTTTGTCCAATGAAATGTCAGAGAAATGAACGTTGGTCGAAATGGTGCAGAAAAATGCCTAATTATAGGAGATCCTAATAGACATCAAATGATGGAGAAACATATGATCAATATATATATATATATATACACACATATACCATATATATATATACCATATATATATATATACACCATATATATATACCATATATATATATACAATATATATATACACCATATATATATATATATATGTATACCATATATATATATGTGTGTACCATTTATATATATATATGTATGTTATCAATTTGTTTTGTCGTCAATGTTTCGGGCAATGACCTTGCACTGGAAGCCTTTGCCCACATTGGCAGTAATCACCAGAATTATAATCTCTTCTTGATTTGGCTTTCCTATCAGCCTTCAGTTGATCATCATACTCCCCATGAAAAAGGGCCCGTTCAAGCACTGGACATCGAACATGTCACTATGCATTCTACCAAGTGTATAATGAGTTGGTTTATGACTAAAACAACCTTTATATCCAAATAAATATCCCAAAGAATCCCTATTGTTGTTGGTTATATGATTGTGCTCGGCCTTAGGCTGCCAAACAAAATGTCAGCAAATGCAAGCTGCATGTGCTGCTGGAAAGCCCCAACAAGGAACATTTCCGAGCGCCTTGACCGTTCGGGGGTGGCAGGGCAGGGGATATCGAACTACTTACTGTGCTCTATAAAGCAACTATGCCACTGTGGTTTACTATATCGACGCATTTCTCGAACTAGGTACTATGGTTCATAACTGTAGTAAGAACTATGGAAGATATATCCAACTAGGTACTATATGTTACTATGTTTGTTCGAATGCAACTTAAGCATTTCACAGATTTCACAGAGGGACGTCCCCACCATTTTTTGGGACGATGGCAACCATCACAAAGCAACATGACTTGGGGTATTTTGAGTATTATGGGTATCTATGGTATTGTGGGTATATTATGCTTAATCTAATTGGCATGGAGCTATGGGTAGGGTATCGATCTAAGCCGGATGGCTGTAAAATCGTGGTCCTCCTCACAATTTAGATATGTATACATATTACATAAATGTGCATACAGAGGCAGATATATGTATATACAGATATATATGTTTGTTTTTTATTATTATTGTTATTATTATTATATATATACGAGCATATCCAATTACATTTGAAAGGGTTGTATAGATCTCTGTATGTGGCAGCCTGTTACTATCCCGACACAATTGAAAAAGGACCATTTCCTGGAGGTAGTATCCATCTTTTTTCGAAACCACCACCTTTGATTTAACACTAGCAACCAGATACCCGCTCAGCATTAGAAATCCCAAGTGTTGTCCCCCACCCTGCGTTAAGAATACGTGAATACTGCCATACATACATTGACACATATTCATGTTATATATTACATCTAATGTGGTTCAAACAATAATAAACTACCCATTTGGGAATGGTTTATATACCACCTATTTATGGTGATTTGGGGGGATCGTGTAATATATGTTTTAATCACATGTACATCATGTTCACAGCACTTACCCTCAGACATTGATGCAAACAGCGGCTATCTCCAGAGAAAAAATTCCAGCTTTTCCACCGATTAAAGACCTGGGGGACCACAGACTTTAGTACATGTTGAATATATAAACCATCCAATGGATACCCAATTTTGACCCATAGCCATACAGAATATACATTGTATATATATAGTACATAATATAAATATAATGTGTATATATAATATATAATAAATATATATAATAAATATATATATATATATATATAATATATATAATAAATAATATATATAATTGTGTGCCGCAATGCTGGCACCCAGGTGGTCACGGATCCATGTTTTCTACTCCTTCGCAAGCTGTGATAAAGGGGGCTCGTGCCCAAATGTTGATTAACGTCAATGTGCATTTCCACTGACATGCTAATGGTGTATCCGATGTGCTTCAAGATTTCACACACCCCAAAGTGGATACACCAGACTATACACTGCTTTTGTCACATCTTTCTAGCAAAACAACCAACACACCGAAACAATCAGCCATGCTGAGACTTCCTCGCTATCTTGCCAGCCCATCTCTGCATCTCTTCGTTTTGGACCAAAACGAATCTGCCCTCCTTGAGCACTCTTCTCAGTAGACACATTGGAGCACCAACCTTCGTAAGACTATCTACCAGCATTTGATCTGTAGGAATCCATCGGGCTTCTATGTTTTCCTTCTCCACGTCTTGCTTGACTAACAACATCTCTATCGCCAGTCGTTTGTCTTTGATGCTCATGGCCTGTCCATGAAGGTGATCATAGGCAGGTTTCGAATCAATCATCAACGTGATTGGAGTTCTCAATGACCTCAAACCATCTGACTCCAGGGTGTAGTTCTGACATGTAATCTCAGTCCACATGGATCTCATCCATTTCGCTTCTGCTATTGCCCTACTCATAGTCAACAGCTCAGCTCCTAAGGTTGATGACACCTGTCTTTCCTGTCGGAAACTCCTCCAACGCCATGGAGAAACTACTGACCACTTGTTGGATCTTAGATTCCTATCCACAGCAGCTATCAAATAACCACCTTGACTTTTTCTGTCAATGGTGTTGGCAAAAGAAGCGTCCGACCAGACTGCGATTTCAACATCCTTTATTTCAATGGGCTTGAACCGAATTTCCATGCCTGCAAAATCGTGTACATGTGCAACAGCTTTGTTGACTGCAATAATGTCTTCGACAGTGGCATTTGCAACTTTCTGCTGCAACAAAGAACACATTCCGGCCAAATCTGGACGACTCCCTGTGACAAGCCAGTTGACTTCTCCTAGGACAGCTCTCATCTGACTCCGTTCTCGTTCGGTCACTTTGCTCTCTCTCTCACGTCTCCTCTCTTTGCTTAGCGCAATGCTTTTGACAGCTTCAGCATATTCTTTCTGGTGCACAACCAACGTACCATCATCCTTTTGTTCCAAAAACTTTCCCAAAAATTCACCCTTGCCTTCTTTCACATGTTTGAACGGAAAAATCTTACTCAGTTCATGAAAAATATTCTCATAAAACCACATGTTACCTCCTATTAACATGTCATCCACATGAACAGAAATACAGCCACAAAGTTCCTTGGTATCCGGGTGACGACTGACAAAAACACAACTGTCCAGCTTACTCTGACTCATGCCAAGTGACACTAGTGTGCGGCTCAACGTATTCCACCATCTTTTGGGGGCATCAACTAACCCATATACCGGTTTCACAAGTTCAATAATGGCATCGCTTTCCACTCCAGGAATGCCATCTTTTGGAACTCGAACCAACACCTTGCCTTGAGCTCTGGACATCGCTTCTCCTCTCAGAAACGCTGCTTCCACATCGGCTATTTTCATTTTCCAGTTCATGCTAGTTATTAGCTGGGCTGTGACTGCAAACCCTTCCATGGACAACGTTGGTGACGCAGTGTTCAGATCCAGCACGTCAGGATCCATGTAACCTTGTACACACCATCTTGCTTTCAGAGTTCCTTCAAGTGTTCCATCGTCTGTGGTGTATACATACCTTGTGCCAAGAACCCTTTCAATTCCTACCTCTTCAACCAACTCCCTAGCAGCTTTTCCTACATGCAGTTTGATCGCTCCAGAGTTCATCATTTTTGACCATTCCTTGGCTTTAGCCAAGTCAAGTTCCTTGAGCTTCTCTGGGCTCAAGGTCTTTGGATTGATTTCCTTGCGACTCTGCTTCTTCATGTTTGTCACAAACACCTCTTCAAATCCTACACCAACTTGCCCATGTCCACGATCATGCTTTTCACTCAACACTTGCACTTCAAGTGCATCGTCAACATCTTCGGCATCGGGTCTCCTAGGAGCATTACTAGGCCTACCAAAGTCAAGAGTATTCAAGTTCCTTCGCAACGCTTCCGTCAACCTAGTCGTTCTAACTGGTGCGTATCCTCCAGGACTCTCAGTTGTCCTCGGTTGTTGAATCACGGACATGACAGGCTCTCTCTCTCTTTCGGGCTCAACTCCACTCATGCCACGACCATGACCAACATGTCGACCTACATCATGTGTGTCCATGTCATGCTGATTCATGTCATGCGTGTCCATGTCATGCTGATTCATGTCATGCATCTCCATGTCAACTGCCGGCTCCACCAGTTCCTGTGCTGGCACTCTAGGTGCTTCATTCTGATTTGGAACTGTAGTCTCGGTATCCTCACCGGCGTTTTCACTGACAACTCCCATGGGTTCATCATCGGTTTCAAGATTTTCATCATCAAGCTGTCGATCAACATCCTGTGAGGAAACCTGTTGATTGACCTCTGGTACCCAGTTTCCTTCTTCCTGTTCTTGCACAGGAGGATTTTCTCTCAGGTCTAACTCAACAAGATTCCCCGCACCTCGCTCACGGATCATGTTTCTGTGACGTTGCAGATTCTCTGGCAACCATGACATGAGGTTTGCAACTTCATCCTGAACTCTTTTCACCTGTTCAGGTGAGCACCTATACACTTTGGTTCCTAGAGACACCCACACTTTGTTGTGTTGAGTTCCTATGATCCTACCGGGACCATGCCAGTGACATTTGGACTCATTCTGGCCTTTTCTCCAAATCATGGCTTCTTGACCAATATGAAAAGGTCCTCTCAATGGTCTGGTCCTATGTCCAATCGCCCTCCTGATTCTCTCTTCGCAGTCTGCCTCTAAGAAGGCCTTTCGTGCAAGCATGCGAATCCTATGAGCTCGCTGATGCATCGTTTCTCCTTGTTCCAGAGCAGACTCAACAGCTTCTGCTGCTTCAACATGCAACAGAGACCCTGGAATTCGAACATCATGACCAATTACATGTTGACTAGGTGAAAAACCCTCTTTTCTAACAAGCGCATTCCGTGCACAAGTGACTTGATCACACACTTCCTCAACTTCACTTTTACTCCCGGGATCCATCTCCATAGCCAACTTTGCAAACGCAACTTTCCACACACCTCCTGCTCGTTCACACAAACCATTTTGCCATGGGCTATAACTTGCAGTGACATCATGTGCTGAGCCATCCCTGCTCAGAGCATCAGTTCATTCCTGACCAAATTCTGGTCCACCATCAGACAGGACTTTCTTAGGAGCTCCGGCCCATCTCTTCCAGTACCTCCTATACGCCTCCCTGGTTCTCTTAACCTCGATGCCTTTCCACAAGGGAACACAAACCTGAAAGTGAGTTGCAACATCAATTATGTTCAACACCTTCAACTTCCTCCATGACAACTCAACCTCAAATGTGTCCACAGCAATCAAGTCGTTGAAGTGCAAGAGCGGTGCAGGCTTTGACACATGATGGGACTTCTGTGCTTGAAACTGATCACACGTAGCACACTTCAATCCCTTCGCAATCTTGATGCACTGCTCTGTCGCTCGTGCACTCTTCAACATGCCAACAAACCGTGGAGTAGATGGATGTCCCAAGTTCTCATGACACCGTTTCAACAACATGGCAATTTTCTTCTCATCTCGTGTGTCCAGCTGTTCAATTGCCAAAACACAGTGAACTGCATGACTAGTTCTTCTTTCTTCTCTATCCCTGAGAAACCCAGTCAGCAACGCATTCACCATTTTCCGGGGATACTCTTGAGCCAAACGTGTCCTAGCAACCCATTTTCCATTTACCTTGACGCTACCAAACAAGGGTTCATGCTCATGACTCTTGTCACACAGTTTGTTCATCTCCGCAGCAACATGTGGACTATTAGTGAGTAAACATGTGCTCTTCCTATGCAGTTTCCTACTCACTCTGTCTCTCAACCCAAACATGCACTGGTCCATGACAACTTTGAAAACCCCTGACAACTGCTCAATTTGTTCTACCTTCTCGTGTTTCCATGATTTCGCCCCTTTTGGATGCTCAAATACAAAAACATCTCCCCTATCCCATTGATCCTTACACAACATCATAGCGAATTCCAAAAACTCATTAGCTTCCTTCATGTCATGATGCCATGTTTCAGATTCTCGGTCCTTACGCAAACTTTGTAAAGGGGAATACATCCTACATGGGGGACACACCAACAGAAACTTGGGTTTCCTAACTGCCAACTCCTGACGGACGCGCGCTCTTTCTTTTTCATCGGACAGGTCGGTTCCAGTGATCAAATCATATGTTGGACCACACTTCAACCCCACAGCCTCTGCTGCAGCACTTACTCGTGGCGCTGAAAACACTTCGGCTACTTCAGCCTCTGACAAGTGATGCTGGCTAATAATCATCACATCGCACTTTTCCTGTCGGGCTTTTCCCTCAAGCTCATCTAATCCAGCTTTCAACACTTGGCATTCCTCTGGCGTCAGTGACTTCTCTACTCCTTGGGCTCCAGAACATGGCGAAACATCTTCACTGTCTCCTGAATGCCCATGATCTCGGCCACCTTGTTCATTTTCTCCAGCATGATGGTGTCGGTCCATTCCAGGCACTCTACAATTGCCTCCCACTGTTTCTGGACATAGGGATCGACTTCGTTGGCCAGCATTTCTTTGACCTCGTCGTCCCATTCCATCTCGTGGCCTGACATCTCGTTGATCCATCCAGAACCTTCTCTGCCGCGTCGACGACCTTCTTCTGGTGGCATTTCGGTGCTGCTGTAGCCCCCGGATTTCTTGGCAATCATCTGGGGACTCGCTGCACTCTTTGCGGTCAGACCCTTCTTCACAATGGGATGCTGTGAGTTCTTCTTGTAGTCCTGATTCTCCACAATGCGCTTGGTCTTCATTTGATCCCGCATTTCCACATACAGGCGATACCTGCGCATCTCTTGTCCTGATGTCTCTGCCTTCACATTGTTCCTCACCCACTTCACATGCTTCTTGTCGGTGGTGTATGCCTCGGCCATGGTGCTCTTGTTCTGGTACTTGCCAGCTTTCATCATCTCTTGGCCCGATACGGGTACTTCTGGTTCGTCTTCGCTGCAATCGCTCAGGCGGTCCAGCAGTTCCGCTGTCACCGTGATCTCCTCTGTGAAGTCCAGCGTCTGCATCAGCTGCTGCGCCAGCGCAGACATTTGCACTCCTCTGGGATGATACATGGCAATCTCTGCTGTCCAACTCTGGCTCCTCTATCTTTTCTGGCCCTTGATCCACTGACGGCTGTCTTGTCACTTGTTCACTTGGCACGATGGGAATGGCATAGTGGCCCTTCTCCGTCTTTCCCATTGCAACTTGCTGATTGATTCTTTTAAACAACATGACATCCCTCTCAGTATCAATAACACAACCCAAACACTTCAACAGTTCCTTTGACAAAAGCAGTGGTGTGCAATGGCCTGGCTCAGGCAACACAGCAGCACTGATAATCAGTCGACGATTCCCTATCATGACTGGAATTCTTGCTACTTGTGATGATCTAAGCAGCCCAGCATTCCCGAAACGAAACTCATTGCTTTCATCAGATCTAGAAACCTTGAGACCCCTATCTCTCAACCTAGACTCAAGCTGCGAAAGCACATAATCCCCAATGAGCGTGCGTCGACACGCAGTGTCGGGAACTGCATGGGTGTCAAGCCCGGCTACAGGCTCACTTGTGGAAAAACTCGGCTGCGCCCCCTCACTCACTATTTCGAGAACATCCTTCTCGTACTTGACCAACATTTCCTCGTGATCCACCTGGGTCGCGGCGATCAACTTGCCGTGGTCCTTCATCGCGTCAACCTTGAACTTGGTCATACCAGTCCACTGGTAGTTCATTTTCTGGTGTGGCACTTTTGCAGTGTGGTAGTTGTCACATATTTCCTCCACTGCTCCTGTCTTCACATTCTTCATGACTGTGACGCGATCTCCGGTCAAGCTCTTCTCATCCACCGGAATATCCCGGACTCCATGTGGTGTGAACATGCCTTTTCTCACCGTCTGGTGATTTCGAGTCAGCCACATAGTCTTCTCATCATAGCTCCATTCATCCTTCCGGCCTTTGCGACCATTCAACACGTCATTCTTTGACATCGTCTCTGGGCCTGGCTTCTGAATCTCAGACTCATCAAGGATGTAGCTCTCAAAGATCTTCTCCCCGTCCACCATCTCTTCAATGATGTTGACCTCTTGGGAAGTTCCTGTCTTAGGAGCCACCTTCTTGCCTGAGTTGGAGCTCTGCGCTTTCAAGGGACATTCCTTCTTCCAATGCCCTGTGCGACGGCAATGATGACAGCGTGTCTTCTGTTTCAAGAGTTCAATCCGGCCTCTCACTGAGCCCTCCAGTTTCCATTGTTCTGGTCCTCGACCAACTGGCTTGTATCCTCGTGACATCTTCTTTTCCTGCATCTTTTTGCGAACATTGGCATATGTCTCGAAGATCTCCAGGGCATCTTCAGACTCATAGTCAGAGACCTCTTGAAGTTGATTTGAGATCACTTCCATGACTTCCGCTGGTTCTTCAACGGAAAAGGCTTCTTCCGGTGTTCCAGCTTGTCCATCGACTTCTGTCATCCTTTCCTCGCTGGCCAGGAAAACATCCTTGTCTTTGGACCTGATGTTGCTGCTCCCCTTGCCATTGGGAAACACTGCCTTCAATGCTTGAACAACTTCAGCATACTTCAGAGAACCCTTGGTCGAAGTCATGACTAGAGCCTCCGAGGTGCTGTCGAGAGCTAGCTTTCTAAGCACAATCCAACCACGTACCTCATCCGGAAGTTCTATCTTGTGTCTCTGAAGACCTCGATATGCTGTGTCCACCCTGGTCACAAAATTCCGGTAGGTCTCGTTGGGCTTGATCGTTGCAGCATAGAAGTACTCCTTCAAACATCTCTGCATCTCATCCTTGTCCAACTCCTTGTACTTGTCATCGAGCACCTTGAAGACTTCCTTATACCCCTTGTCAGAGGTGATCGTGTGAACATCAAGATGCTCTAGTGCCTCTTCTGCTTCGCCAGCAACATGCTCTAACAGTCTAGGACCCCATCGAGATTCTGGGACTGTTGTGGGCAATCCCATGAGGTACAGCTCTGCTTTGCGTCGCCACCGACGATAAAGAGAAGCATCACTTCCGTCAAATGTCTCTAAGGAATTTCTTTTGTCTTGACCTTCTTCTTTGCCTCCACTCATGACCTGCGCTGAAGCTCCACGGCACTGCCTCCAAGATCCTCAACGTACCTGAACGCTGCTGACCTCTTGGCAGCTCCGCTACCACCTGTGTGCCGCAATGCTGGCACCCAGGTGGTCACGGATCCATGTTTTCTACTCCTTCGCAAGCTGTGATAAAGGGGGCTCGTGCCCAAATGTTGATTAACGTCAATGTGCATTTCCACTGACATGCTAATGGTGTATCCGATGTGCTTCAAGATTTCACAATAATATAATATATATAGTGTGTATATATACATACATATATATTTATATACATTTAATATTATATATATTGTAATATATATATATATATGTAGATTGTAATATATATATACATATTTTGTAATATATATATATATTGTAATATATATATATATATTGTAATATATGTACACAATACATGGTATGATTGTGCATTTTTTAGCAATACAGCTTGGCTCAACAAAAAGGTCGCGGGTGATCAAGCTGTTTGTTTGTCATGTTGTCGCCCACCCTAGGCAGGCGCCATGTTCTTATGGTTGTTTCCTTCAGCGACTCAGGTAGCCAGCTCATGGTGAAACAGTTTTTTCTTGATCATCATCCCACGGAGCTGAGCGCCATGCCGCCATTCCGCCCAGGAAATCAAAGATCTCTTGGACGGATGTTATAAGTCGATGTCCAAGAAAAGGCCCAAGAACTGGCCAGTCGATGAAGGTCATGTTCGTTGGATGGCCAGTAAGTTGGTACCCTCTGGTAAACTTACAAGATGCTGAAAAGCCGTGGGGAAAGCCTAGAAAAAAAGATGTACTTATATAAATGGTAGCTTTTGCACATCTAGGATTTCATAGTTTTGGATGAAATTGATCATGACCTCACTGTGAAGTCACCGGAGTGATGCTTAGTAAGGATATCAGCCCCAAATGGCCTTGTTTCAACTATAGTGACTTCTCACATACAATATATTACAATTCATGACAAATTTTATGGGGCCATTGTTACCTCACTTTTCAGCCTGGGCAAGTATTAATTTCTTGCCATACATGAGTACAGTTCGGCCAAAAAGTGGCCACGATGAGGGTATTTCGATGTATTTGGGTATTGAGATCTGAGCACTTACTGTAGAAGTTTGTTGATGGGTACGGGTCACAACTTTCAAACCCAAACGACCACAGACCTTGGTCATTCTTCACATGGAGCAAAGCATCCCGTTCTTGGCACACGATTGTGACTCATAGCGATTTAAGATGGGCGATGCATTGAATGGGTTTGTCTGAAAATAAGGTACCCCAAAATCCAACCTTTTTTTTAACCATCTGTCCCATTCAAATTCAGTAATTTTTGGGGCGTACCCCATTTTGGGGGTCTATGGTTTTGATCGTGGCCCTCTCCACTTGTCAAGTTATTGATTTGACCAGTTTCTGATCGTGCAACTCAATCACCAAAGTGAACTGTGAATTTCTGATCAAAGTGAACTGTGAATTTCTGATCGTGCAACTCAATCACCAAAGTGAACTGTGAATTTCTTCGCCCTGAAAGTTCTTGCTGTTTTTTTTTCGGGTAAATCTTACTAAATCCCCAGTCATGACTGATTCATCACCCATATCCTGGTGGAATATGCACCCCAACATTTGCCACAAAATCCACCCAGTTCTGTAAATCTACCACCATAAAAACCCCAGTTCTGTAGGTTATACCATCACCATGGAGACCCCAGGTCACGCACGATTCACCACCACACCTGGCACCGAAGTTCGCCAGGCCGGTCTTGCTTCCATCGACTCCGGGTCCACTGGCGGACTGGGACGAGCAGGGAAGGCCTGGCCGTCACTGGGAGGGCTGAAAAAAGTCGGAAAAGCTGGGCTAATCATGGAATATCTATGGGATATCTATGGGATAACCAGATATCACCGAATCCAAAAGGGATTATTGTGGGATTCACCGAATTTCATATGTTGGGATCAATGTTTTTTTTTAATACACAGGATATTGGCTGGGAGAACAAGTGCACCATCCCAAGGTCATCACCGTGGCTTGACGGCTTGGATTCAGTTAGCATCTCCAGTCATGGTAGGTGAAGCCAGCATAAAAGGGAGCTGCCTTAAAGACTGTGATTTACTCACGGGTTTTTCTGAGTGGGTCATGGAAAATGTATCTTAAGTTCTGAAATGAAGTGTCACTTATGCGGATTAATTGCAATCATTACTGGTTGATGGTTTGGAACATGTATTTTCCATAATATATGGGATAATCCTTTCCATTGACTAATATTTTTCAAGATGGTTAAAACCACCAACCAGATTATCTTGTGGTATTCTAACATAGCTGTGGAAAAAAGAAAAAGCAAAACATTTCTGATAGCTAAATAATCTACAACAGGGGCAATGTTCCATAGCTATATTAGAGTATGTAAGAACCAGTCATGGGTTCAAAGTTCATAGATGACTTAATAAGTGGGATAATGAGTTCATAGGGTTGATGACTCACTTATTCTATCTCAAATTCTTATCGGGTCAGAAACTAAAGAAGTTGAGTTAATGATCAGTAATTTACTAGGTCAATCTTAGATGGGTACTGAAAAATCCGTTAGTCTTTTGGTATCAATGGGAATATCTACGTTCACCAGCAAAGAATTTGTCATTTTTTGCAGGGTATCTGGCAGATTGGCAATGTTTATTTGCATTCAGTGCCTCACTCTATCCCGTGACTTAAATTCAAGTCCACATCTATCCGGTGTGGGTGTTTAGGGGAGAGCTAAGGAGCCATCAGGGTATCCATATTCCCAAGCCATGGGGAGTCAATAGGGAGCCAAGGAGCTAAGAGGTCCAAGGGTTTCCCAATCACATGATAGATTAGTAATTGTTAATTTCATTGCGGACGTGTTTCATATTCTTGAACAACTAGTTTTCAACGGGAACCTAGCCTCTGAAAAGAAATTACAACTTCAGTTGTTCTTCTTGTCAGGTGAGGTGCCATGGCCAACGCAGGTACCAACCTTACCATCCCCTCAGGTCCGACCTTCCATGCAACAAGGGAGCTGCGGACCTCGAGCCGGTGCGTCTTCAAATCTGGTTCAGTGAAACTGGTCAGCGGTTCGTGATTCGGGATACTTGGGATTCCCCTGTCATGAAGGATCGCTCAATGCACTGGACCGGCTTTACCTTGTTCGAGCTGAAGGTGTTGCAGCAGCCGGAGCGATCACAAGGCTTTCCAAATGTTCCGGTGGGCAGTGCTACGATTCCTGGAGATCAGGACGGCTATTATCCACGGGATGATGATGATGATGTTCGAGTGATGGTTGGTTTACATCGCCATCTGGTGGAGCCGGCTTATCCTGACGAAGAAGGAGGGCCTCGCTTCAATCCTGAGGCATGGCTTTTGGGGTGAACTCCCAGCAGAGCTACACGGTGGAGCCGTCGAGGACCACACGGTCTTCTACCACTACCGAAGCTTCTGCCAGTGGTGCCTTTACCCAAGGAGTTTTGCCTGAGCAACGAGAATGATTGCAATCTTAAATAATTCATTCCTTACATTTGGAGTCTGTGGCTTGGTCTACGGAGCTGTTGAGTGAGCAGTTCTTGCCATTCATTTCCCCCATTGAATATGGATGATTCTGGATGATGTTTGTGGTTTCCCAGTCTAGGAAACCCGCAGAACAGGCCAATTGGGGGTAAATTCCGGGTCAGAAGCTATCGAGTCGAATCAGCGTCACAGAGCAGCGTCCGGAATCAACATCCAAAGGTTCGGATCAGCGTCGCAGAATCAGTGTCAAAGACAATCCTGGATCAACATCGTGGATGAATTGTTGGGATGGTCGGGATGGTCGGGGTAACCCGCAAAGTTGCCATCTACAACCCTCCTGATCCAATCCAAGCAATATAGACTGCGATCCAACGAATCAACACCCGGCCACTTGGGGGCAGGATTCATCGTATAGAGCATAAATCATAATCTAACTGGGTAAATTATGGCGACCTCACGTCACGGGAATGATGGTTAGGAGGGGTAACTATAACCAAAAATCGCCTCCATTCAGCTTAGTGGATTACTGCATTATCATTTGCAACAGATATATGCTTTCTATGGTTCTTCATGATGTTTAATGGGTATAACCGAGTATAACCATGGGATTATAACCCCCAGGTGGGGCGGGGCCTCTACCACTATGGCTTTCAGGGTTTCACCCCCGGACCTATAGGATGGATCCGAGCTAACCAAGATGTGTAGTTCCTGCAGCAATCACAGTTGACTCTTCCCAGCATCAGGTATCATAAGAGGATTAAAGATGATTTTGATTAATCTTGAATGAAACACATATCCCAAAGATTCCAAAAGCACCCTCCTGATCGGAATGGAGCCAAACTTATTCCGTTGATATTCCATTGTATCATAATGCATCATTGTATACCATATATCAAAGCTGCATTTTGGATGATTAATCACCATTTCGTTCAATGATCTTCCCAGACTCGCAGGAGCAGCTCGGACAGGAATAGCAAGGCGCCAGAAGCAACTGGAATATCGCGGAGTCAGCAGTTGTGTCCTTTGAAAAGAGTGGATTTAAGCAACAACAACTAGGGTTTAAGATGGTTTAATCCTGAAAAACTGTGGTTTAGGCAGCATAAATTGCTATTCAATCAACAAAAATGGTGGAATATGGGATTTCACCAGCAAAGTTATGAGAATTTCAGCAACTACCATTGGATAATGGGGATATTGCCAGGGGACTTGGCCAACGACTATCAAGAACTAAATTTATGGTGGTTTAAAACAAAGCAGTTTATGGCGATCTTCATGGTGGTTTAAAACTAAGCAGTTTATGGGGATATTTATCGATCTTCATGCGGATATTAACAACCGGAAGATATGTGGGTGTGTTTGAAAATGAAGATTAATAAACCAACAAAACTGCAAATTTAATAGGGAAAATAGTAAAAAATCAAGTTTGGGAGCACCCCGTCTGGTATTTTTTGCAGGGATTGTGTTTGCTTAGTGCAAGTTTC